TTTCCACAATTCACAGCATAAATATTGCTTCCAGTCAGAATAATCATTCTGGTGTAATCCAAAGATAACTTTAAAAGTAAAACTGCCAGGATTATGAATTATTGTGACCTTAGGGTTACTTGTGTCACTGTATAAAGGCCAGAATATCCAAAAGACTTACTATGCTACCTATTAGGCCCTTTACCATCTCCTAATGTTGTTGGTGATGTGTACTTTTTTTGGCTTGAGTCTATGTAACATATAAAGAACAGTAAATAAATTATTTATTTCAATCCTGCAGTTTCAATCATGCAGTTTGAATCAAAGCAGTAATTTTCCCTTAAATAAAGCAAATTCTTCATGTAATAAACTCAAATATAAAATAGTTTGCATACATAGTATGATCCTATGAATATTGTATTATATTTAATCAATGTTAGCATACCATGAGAATATTGTACCCACAAAAAAATCAAGACAGGGAGGATTGGTGTTGTTAGATACAGAACTACAGTAGAAGGGATTCACTAAACAGACCCTCTGTTTTATACTTTTCATTTTAAAGCGAGACTAATGACCTTGCATCAAAGGAGGTGTAACAAGGTTGGCATGGAGTTATGGAAGATTCAGGGACATGCTAAAATTAAAAAATAGTCAGTCTCCTCTCTGCAGTTTTAGTTTGAAATGTCACCGTCAGCCAACCCTGTTCAAACCTTTAATGTTTGCTATGTATCCGCTCTGTAACATTAAAAATAAAAACATATTAGCTTAGTGGGTTTCAAAAATATCCATACAGGTGGACATTTCCTCCTCACAAAGACTTGGCAGTAAAAATCTATAAATATCAGACAGACAACAATTCAATATCAATAGAAAGATACATCCGATAAAAAGTTCATTACTCCCACTGAAATCTCTGATTCTGGGTTATATAGGAAGAGGAGAGGAGAACATCAACCCTTTCATGCCCAAACTAGGCAGGGTTGGTAGTAGGTATAACCTGTTTTTAAAGGCTAAAAGTTACATCTAAAGGGGTTAGAGTTCATATAAAGTCTGTCTTTTTCCCCTGGTCCTTATTTCATATTGGTCAACAAAACACGAATCAATAAGTATCCATATCAACAGATATAAACTGCTTATATTGCAATACATTTTTCAGCCCTGCCACACAGTGCTACCCTTCACTGATACTTGGTTAAATCTCAACAGCCCTGCTTCTCCCCATCAACTGAAAATGTAACATTATAAAATTGGTGTGGAGGTAAATCCATCAATATTACACCCCTGATCAACCTGAAATGTGTAACCACACAGATAAACCAAATGTCTATCATAAGACATTCCTTTAGGTAATACCAGATAAAGACTGTACAGTGTCGGAGCAATTCAACCAACCAGCTGAAATGAGCTCTACCTTTTTTAATTTCTCATATGTCCTGCCAGAATATATGACAAACATTTTCACTGCAACAAAAAAAAGCTCATATAAATGTATCCCGTCATATGTTTGCACCTGTATACCTTCTCCCATTTCTTTATATATATATATATATATATATATATATATATATATATATATATATATATATATATATATATATATATATATATATATATATATATATATATATATATATATATATATATATATATATATATATATATATATATATATATATATAGCAACCTGTTTGTATCTTCACATTGATGATGATGATCTACATTTCTTAACTGTGAATACAGACTATCTTGTTCTGTCAGACTTAATTAGTGTAAATGTTCCTGTTAAATGTATGATCTTTATCTCCATGCCATGTCACAGCTCACATTAGTGTCCTACTTTCACATGACGTCATAAGCTGGCGGTGAGAAGAGGCGGCGAGTCAGTTCCTTCAGTTTGACCGTCAAAATAAGAATCATACCAGCAGGACATTGTAAATCAGTTTTGTTCAAACATTAACCCCGTCTTGCTAACGATGCAGGCGGAGGACAAGAGAAAAAAAGGGACAAATGAGGGCGATTGGCTTCACATCGTGTGTTTAGTTCCCAGGCTGCAGACTGCTCAGAGATCGGAGACAAAAGCTAACCGTCCCAGCAGGACTCAGCTCTGAGCTGCGTGTAAGACTGGAGCAGCCAGAGTCAACAAGCATGCGAAGTAAATATGAAGGGGTCGCAGCCGGGATGATAGGACAACTTTTGGTGTTTTTACCGCCACACGTTAAAACAAAAGAAGGAAAAACGACATGATGAAACGGTCTATGTTTGAGTTCAAATTCGTACCACTGCGAAGCGTTTGACAGCTGGTTCCATAGTGTAGCGGTTATCACGTCTGCTTTACACGCAGAAGGTCCTGGGTTCGAGCCCCAGTGGAACCAAACATTTTTGTGTGTTTTATCCTAAAAGAAAATAGTCTCTGTTTAACAATTAATAAGACTCATGAAAGTAACTAAAAGATATAACAATCATGCTGTGAATGTAAAATTATTAAGATAAACTATATCTCATGTTTGCACTAGTATGTATATTTTCAACCAGTCTATTGCAATCATCGTTACTATACCTACAACATGGAGTGGACACCAGAGAAAATGTTATATTCATTATGCTTTTATAGGCATGACCAAATTTTAACAGCATTAAGTGTTTTTTGTGGTTGTGTTTCCAGGCTTTTTTCCCCCCTTTTGCAGTCCCCTATCGCAGCAGATGGCTGCCCTGTCTGAGTCTGGTTCTGCCAGACGTTCCTACCTGTTAAAATAGTGTTTGTTCTGTCTTGTTGCCAAGGGAATGCTCAGAGGGAATTGTTGAGTTTCTTTGCATATAGAATATCCTTAAATTACTATCTGCTGTATACTACAGCAATAATAACACAATTTGGCCTATATATTTTTTTCAATTTAATATACATTAGCTGGACCTTTGAATTTCGTCATGCATTCATTTGAATCTGCATGATCCCATCTGTCTATCACTCTGACTTGATATTTATTTCTTAACATTTCAGGACCTAGGAAGTAAAGTAGCAGCTGCTGCCATTTAAATACATTTGATCAAAATTAGCAAACGTGGCCCCCTCTGTAAAGCAGTGGTTATGGCAGTTTTCCAGTGTGGGTCTATAGATGTTTATTAACATAAAAACTAGGGTGAGAAACATAAACAATAGCCATAAAGAAGCACCAGTTATAATATATCAGTGGATTACATTCAGTATGTTAATTTCAATCCCAGAACAATTCAACTAAGATAAGAATATACATGCAGGAACAATGTTAATTGGACAAATGAAGCCAAAGTTATGCAGTTTGGCCTTTATACAGAATGCAATGCTTAAATTAAACAAATCATACTAGAAGACACCCCTTATACCAGCTACCAAACAATGTGGCAGAGAGAGGTGTGTACTAGGGGTACTAAATAGTCATTACCATGTCATTATCTTGATATACTGTATATACCTGGATATACTGTATATATATATATATTGTTTATTCTTCTTAATGCACCTTTTTCCTCCTTGTTTGCACCTTCTTTAATTACTATGCCATTATGTCAACAATGCTCATCTAATCTAATCTAATCTTAAATCAGATATAACCTCCTCTGTATTGCAATCTATTTTTGAGCCAAAATATGTCATCTGTCAGTTGAATCCTGACACAAACTGGGACATGAAACAAAACACCAATCGCAAACATAGCAGGAAATCTACATTAATGGGTAAAAAAAACAGCAATTAGCTTCAGCCAGAGTGAGTTGCTGTTGTGCTGCCTAAAGGAACAGAAGCGATGTTGTGAAGAAGCGTGGGGAAATTATACTTTCGCAAAACATCTGAATTGTGGCATGCATTTGTTTGCCACCCACTTGACACAACACATCATAAAGCCCTCTTCAACTCCAGTAAGATCTACAAGTCTTTTGGGAGATGTCTTTACCAGATTTAGACACACCGTGACTAAAATCTTTGCCAATGAATTTATCTTTGGCAAACAGGGTTGGTGTCTGTAAAGATTCTTTTCAAGACATGGCTTGGATTCCCAATTTATTTAGTTCTGAGACCTTTAAGTTCATAGGGCCCTTTTTTAGGGACACCAAAACGAAAGGGGATAAACAAAAAAAGCAAGCAATGCTTCTGATGTTTAAATTTGTAAGAAATATACACAAAAAAATCCCACAGTCTTCCCTTCACAACCAATAAAAAAACCCTCTTATACACAACAGAACCAAACTGCAAATTCCAAAAAAAGCAAAACTATATAATATTATAAAAATACAATGTACCAAATGGATGGATGGATGGATGGATGGATGGATGGATGGATGGATGGATGGATGGATGGATGGATGGATGGATGGATGGATGGATGGATGGATGGATGGATGGATGGATGGATAGATAGATAGATAGATAGATAGATAGATAGATAGATAGATAGATAGATAGATAGATAGATAGATAGATAGATAGATAGATAGATAGATAGATAGATCATGGAGGATGAATTGATGGATAGATGAAAGATGAATTGGAGGTGGCAGTATCTTTATCATAGTTGCAGACACCTGACTGACTGCAACAGCCTCTTGATTTATTAACGGCTACTTTTTGCTTAAAAAAGATTAGAAAATATTACAAATACTGACCTAATCTGCTGTTGGGGAAACAAGCATCTTCTAAATAGACCAGCTCACTTGGTTTACGGTTCAGGTGGACGAACATGACTTTGAAAGCTTTCACACTGTCATCTTTCTGTCTCAGAGCTAAAAAAGAGGAAGAGAATCGAGAAGGAGAAGCAACGGTTACCGTGGCAACAAGTCCCTAACGACACGCGACGAGGTGTTATCTTTGTAAAGTCCTCGGTGCCCGAGTTTACGCTAAAGTTATTAATGAAATAAATTAAAACTATCGCGGAGCTTTTTGTGTGTGTGTGTGTGTGTGTGTGTGAAATTTTTCAAGAGGTCGAAAGAGGTCGCGCTGGTGGCGTTTGAGCGCGGCGCCTCCTCTACGAACCGGATGTTGTCTCCTGCTGACTTCCTGAGGTGTTTCATTCATTTCTGTCCCCAAAATGGCGAACGTTGCTGCTGCTACCGTGGCCGCCGCGGCCGCGGCTGCTGCTGCTGCTGCGAACAGAGACCCAGCCGTTGATCGGTCTTTACGATCAGTGTTCGGTAAGTTAGGTTTTATTAGAAACAGTTGGAGTAGTTTACGTATAAAATAAGAAATGCTAACATAAAAATGCACCTAATGTATGTAGACCTCATAGCTTAACCAGACAGCAGAGGAACAAAACGACGCTAACAACAAACGATTCATAATTGGAGACATTATCTTTTCTTGTTGTACACACACATTCTTTTTTTTAGTGGGAAACATTCCTTATGAAGCCACAGAAGAGCAGCTGAAAGATATATTTTCCGAAGTCGGACTTGTTGTCAGCTTCAGGTAAGTAGACGAGAAAACTTAGTTACCGTATTTGCATCCATTATTGTTTGTTTGCTTGCTTGATACAGATTCCTATAAACATGAACAAAGGAATAGGAACATAATTTCACCAATTCAATTTTAGATAAAATTAAATTGCATTATTTGACACAAAAATGCATTGGCCTACACAGCCATGAGGACTGTGGAGTTGTCCTTCTGGTGATATATTTTATATTTTACTTGGCACAAACAGAACCAGCAGGAAATAACTGCAAAAAAAAAAAACCCTACTAGAATGTTGAAATATGGAAAGGGGCCTCAAGCAACATGAAGTCTCCTCATCTAATTTTGACCTGGAGAAAAGCTCCTATGTGCTGATTGTTGGTTGGATCAACATCAACTCAGCTCTCTAACAAGGGCATTTAAAGCAATTAATGCTTCTCCCTGCTGTTAAGTTTAACTCTTAAGGATGCTGATTTTAATTACAACATAACTAGGAATCAGCCCACACTTCCAAAAGTAACAAAACTGAGTTCAAAGTAGCGCTGAAACAATTAATCGGATTAATCGATTGTTGAGATAACAGTAAACTAATTTAGTGATCGATTAATCATTAGCTGGAGTGTAGAGACTTTAAAATATGCCTTGAGCTGACACAGCAACCCACTTAGAGGAGTAATTATACCAAGATTGTTAAAAGAAAACATGTTAACATTTCATCTGTCAATATGCTTAAACAATTGGAAAAGTTTTAGCTTCACCAGTTTAATTTTTTAAAAGTCTTCTTTACAGAATGTTTGGCTATCTGATTATTAATTGATTAATAGAAGAAATAATCGACAGATTAATCGATTTGAAAAATAATCTTTAGTTGCAGCTTTGGTTCAAAGATCATTTATTAGTCTACAGACCTGCTGGATCTGAACCCCACTGAGAAATCTAGAGGTCGTTTGCAAGATTGAGCCACAGGCATCAAAATTAACTGAAATAAATGCATTGAAGGTTTCACACTTAATGAATCTGTCAGAGTTAATTTAAGTTGAATTTCTGAAAAAATTGTATTAATCGAAATAAATTAAAAGAAGTTTTTTTGTTTTGTTTTTTTACATGCGCCTTCTTTTTTTTATATGTTATGATTGTACTTTCCCTGTAATTTTCAGGTTAGTGTATGACAGAGAAACGGGGAAGCCAAAAGGATATGGCTTCTGTGAGTACCAAGACCAGGAGACGGCCCTCAGCGCTATGAGGAACCTGAATGGGAGAGAGTTCAGTGGTCGGGCTCTCAGAGTTGACAACGCTGCTAGTGAAAAAAACAAGGAAGAGCTTAAAAGTAGGTCACTGCATTGGTAAAGTAGATGTGGTTATAATGTATGCCTTTGTGTTAAAAGCACAGTTTGGTCTCCTGCGCAGGCCTGGGAACTGGAGCCCCCATTATTGAGTCTCCTTATGGAGACAGCGTTTCGCCAGAGGAGGCTCCAGAATCCATCAGCAGAGCTGTGGCAAGTCTTCCACCTGAGCAGATGTTTGAACTAATGAAACAGATGAAGGTCAGTTGGTTTATATTATTTGTGTGATTGTAGTTTTTGTTGTTTTATCCATCCATTCACTCGTTGTCTTCTGTTTACTTTGTACTGTTGAAGAACTAGTTCTTCAATTATGTGAAACATGATCTGCAAGAGTATGAATGATGGATTTTGTTTTCTTAATCCTTAAGAGAGTTACTGTCTCTATAGGATTTTAGCCTTAGCACAGTATTTAGATGCTCATTATTGCTTTACAAGTCCTGTGCTGTACAGAACAGAGACATTATGTTTACATCTGTGGCAGCAGCTTCAAAATGAACCACAAAAAAGAAAACGGTCAGCAAATTTTTCATCTCAAGAAGGAAATGAAATCTTTTGGCCTACCCAAGTTTTTGTTGGGCAGGTCCATAGTCTGATGAGTAAGTGTGAGTTTCAGACGATGAAACCACAGATTAAGCTTTCTTTAATTGTTCCTTTCATCTTTTCTAGGTCAAGATAGTTATTAAAAAAAGAGTTGGAGAAACTATTTCTAGATTTAATTTTCTTATTTTCTTATTTTTTTTAATATTTGTGTCCAGTCCTCCCTATTTAAAGCCTGACAGCTGTTGCAATTTTTCCACCCATAGCTAAGGATAAAAACTTAGACATCAATATAATGAAAATGGATCCTTATACTGTAGTGCTCAGATCCAAACTTCCAAAATGTTGACATAATAAATGCATCTGAACCTGTAACTTGGTGCATTTGTGATTTGGAGATTTGTCTTAAACTGTAACCCAGACTTGTTATCCTATTATTAAAGAGTATGATTTGAAAAATGAAAACACTTTTCTCCCCCCAGCTGTGTGTACAAAACAGTCCCCAGGAAGCGAGAAACATGCTGCTGCAGAATCCGCAGCTGGCCTACGCTCTGCTGCAGGCACAGGTCGTAATGCGGATTGTTGACCCAGAGATCGCTTTGGTGAGAACCAAGAGATTAGCACCATTATTTCCAGAATAACTACAATACACAAAAAAGAGACATAATTTTTTATATGCATTTTATAAAATTTTTGTTTATTAAAAAATGTATTAATTTCTGCACAGAAAATGTTACATCGTCAAACAGCAGTCCAGCCTCTGGTTCCCAGTGCTCCGGTTGGAGCAGCACCCCCAGTCAACCCTCCTGCACAGCCCAATGTCCAGGTGTCGCAGCCACAGCCTGGGGTAAGCTAAACGCAGATCCATGTCACTCCTGTTCAAGCTTTACTCTGATATCTGGGATTTAAGTTGGGTTCAAGTTTTTGAATTAAAAACAAAAAACAAACAATCACTGTCCGTAAGTCATTAAATCGATCTCACCAAGTCACCATAAACAATCTAATTATGTTTCTTAAAGTTGAACATGAGAGGAAATCAAATTAAAAGTTAAAATGAACACGTTGTAATGTCAGATCCTTTGTATTGGTTTAATTATCAGCCTGGCATGCACATCAATGGAGCGCCTTCGATGATGCAGCCTGCCAACATGGGTGTCGTCCCTGGACCAATGCCTGTACCAGGACCAGGACCCGGACCTGGACCAGGACCAGTTGGACCTCCAGGTAATCAATCATTAACTCTGTACAGTTCCAAACAAACGATACAACAGGTCGTTTATGGTTTGGTTGTGATCAGACCTCGATCAGCCACCAGGCTTGAGCTAAATGCCTTCCCAGAGTCATTTAGCTTAAGCGTTGCATTGTGGGATACCCTTGAGTACACAGATGAAATCCTGCACATCATTAATTATAAAACTGTATGCAGCTTTCTAGAGTTATATCATTCAGTCAGCTCCTCTGATCAGTTTGGCTGACATGGTCCAAAGAACCAACGGGATGGAGTAAAAATGTTGTGTTTTCTACTAGCTCAGAGCACAGCATCCCTGTTCTGTGTTAACATCCCAGACTGGTCTGAACAATGAATGTTCTCCTGGATTTATTAGTAAAATGTAGTGTTACGCCAATGCTATTTTTTGGCCCGATACCTGGCTGTGCAGTATTAACTGATATCGACACCATCCGTTTGAAATTGATGTGTGTGTATATATGAAGAACTGCTACTACTTGGATGTAAAATAATTGCCATTATGGCTTTCTCAAGCTGCTGCCTACTTTTTTCAAGCAGGAAAAAGACTAATGCAAAGTGATACCGATACCACCATTTTAGTGCTGGATTGGGGCCCCGTCCCATACTGGTATCGGTGCAACACTAGTAAAAAGTTTGAGTTTGTTTTGAGTTTTTACTTTGTCTTTGTTTTTGGTTTGTATTTCTTTCTGCATCAAAAGAAACTAAATCATGTACACAACTAAAAACTATTGGTGTGAAATGTCCCCAAACTATGCTTTTCTTCATTTCTTTTCTTTGTTTTGTTTTGGAGTTTTTTTGCGCCAAATTTGAAAATACAATGTTTGAAAAATTTTTTCAGGTCTGTTATTGTACTTATATTTAATTACGTTGTATAAAAAAGGTATATTTTCTTTTTTACATTAAATCAGACTAAACCTCTCCCCTTTTTTACGTAATTTAGAATCGCCATAATTATTTCCATTTGCTCAGAACAAACCTAATGTGTGTTTAGATTGGATATTTAGGTAGTTTTATGAATATTTCCTTTGTATTAAGTAGCATTGCCTTTAAAAGTTTATCCTTCCAGTAACTTCTCCCAACAGTTTGCTTAAACTTTAGCCTGTTCCTGCTGACAGAGGTTCTGTTTTGTTTTTCCCTGAGGACCACTAGAAAAAAACCCTCAATCCTGTGAACTTTAGGAACAAATTTAGTTCTGTGGTAACTGGTTAGGGTCATTGACTGTTGAAAAGATCCCTCTGTGTCCAACCTGATGTTTTGAAACATTCCTTCAATATTTCACCCTTTTTGTTCCTCTAGTTTGAGAAGTCCACCAGTCGCTCTTGCAAAACACCCACACAGCATAATACTGCCACCACCAAATGTTATTGTTTAAGCAGATAAACCACCAGGCTTCAGAAGACATGAGTTTTAAAGATCAAAAATTATCTTTTGATATCATGGCTTGCTGATTTTGCCATTTACTGTGATGTCACGTAAAGAAGAGGTGAGTTTGATGTTTCACATTGAAGAACATCGACAGGTGTTCTAAATTTCGCTAGCATTATATGAATGAACTTATAAGAACCATCTTGAAAATATCACCTCAAATAGAAATTGATTCGTTAATCCTAATTGACCTTCTTGAACTCAACCACAATTATTAATATAAAAAAAAAAACACCTGGATTACAATTCCTGGGATCAGCCTTTTTTCAGAGGTGGGTTTGAAATGCGGCGTGGATCAGAGACAGCAGTCTCTTCTCAGATGCATAAATATGTAGTTTGGTGACATTTTGCATTCAAGTATGTATACAAGCAAAGCTATGGTTTTTAGGCGCCAAGGCTGTTGTCATGGAAACATAAGAGGCTAGAGATAAACAGCATTAGGACTAAATTAGATTTACAAGAAAAAAAACAATGAAATGACCTCTTAAAACTAAAGCCTGCTCACTAATAAACTTAAGTCCTCTGAAGTGAGCTCCTGCAGAAGGCGTACAGGAGGAAATGGTTTTTAACGCTATGAACCAGGCCTGCCCTGATTCAATACTGAAATCTGTCCGATATCTGCCAAAAAGTGAATATCAGGAAAAATTGGCCTGCATCTAAAACAACCGATATTAGAAAAAAAATATAAATTAAAAATTTCTGCTGTTGTTTAAAATGAATATGACTCTTTGGTGAATAAGAAATGAGTCGGATGTTTTTAAGTATTGTTCTCGGTTTGAGAAATATCCCTTAATCAGGCCTTTTTTATCATTCAACTCTATAAAATAATATGTATTATTTTATAATATGTATTATCCATGCTGATGTTGTATGGGGTCAATAGTCTTAATTATCTGTATCGTATCAGAAATGAAAAAAGTTGTATCTGGACTCCCCTACTATAACTTATCCAGGAAGGCTACAACCTTAGGATTGTTCAAAACGGAAAGAAATGTCCGCCTCCTAGATTTTTCCCTTATTTGGAAATATTTCCCAATCCAGTGCCTTCACCGTGGAGATGAGATTTAATTTCTTTATGTAATCTTTAGGGGAGTGTATCAAAATGACAATAAAAGCCTGTGGTGGCCTAGTGGATAAGGCATTGTGACTGGCTCCCAGAGGTTCTGAGTTCAAGTCCCACTCCCACAGACTGCAACTCTGAGCAAAGACCCTTAACCCCCACACTGCTCCCCGGGCGCCGCACAATGGCAGCCCACTGCTCCCCAAGGGGATGGGTTAAATTCAGAGGTGAATTCCTACAGTGTGAGATTATTAAAGTTCAATTATTAATAATAATAATACTTGGAAATCAGCCTGAAACATTACATTTTTTTTATGTAGATCAATCCGGTTTTATTTTTTTTATGACATTAAAAATGTCTGTTTCTGTACAACTCACCATACTAAACAAGTTTCCAAAGAATTTCTGCAATAAAAGTCTAATTAAATGAGAAGTTTCTATATATAGACTCATAGAACAGTTTAATTCGATCTGCCTGCATGTAAAGAAAATCCAACCCCTTATGTCTGGATACTTATGAAGCGTTGCGCCTGTCATGGCTCCCAAAGCTCACAAGGTGTCACCAAACCCTCTGCTAATGTTGTCGGATAACCTTAGGCTCTTTGCCACAGAAATGTTCAGTGTTTGTTTTGTTTACGCGCTCTGATGTTGCACATTTCACGTGCCTCCATTTAGAAGGTAATCTGTCCCTCTGCCGTATTTCCTTTTTTTTTTTTTTTTTTGGTGATTAGCCCCAAAATGCCGCTTCTCTCTCTTGAGTCTTGTCTCCTGTTCTTTTTTACTTTAATGCTGGCTCAGGAAACCTCCAGAGTCCCCCCACAGGATCAGCTGGACCCGCTGCTATCGAGCGGCCTCAAGGTATCACTGCTACCCCTCGATTCCCCCGACAGTTCAGAAAGATGCTATCCAGATAGAGTGCAATCTGTGACTTTTTTGTGATATTCCCCCCCTTTTTTGCCTGCATGTCTGCTTCTTTCAAATGTCTGCCTTTTGCTATTGCACAGAGAAACCTGAGGGTGCTTATCACATCTGCTTTCAAACAGAGAGGAGTGTTAGAGTGCGGTGATAACTTCAGCAAAAATTGCCTTGTCATGAGGGTGAGGCTAGGTGTGTAAAAATGCAGAGTTAAAACTCTCACAAAACTCAGAGGGGCTTTTGGATTATTGTAACATTCACCTGAGGATAGTTATGGTTGAATGCACTGTTTTGTCGTTGAAATGTATTTCAAATGTGAAGTTTATGTAGCAAAGATGACTAACACTAAATGTCTACAAAAAAGGGCTGCAAACAAACAAGAAGCCACAAAATTTTTATACACTAACGCTGGAGATTATCTTTAAAACCCTATGGTTGGTGATATTTAAAGTTTCTGTCCACCAGATGGCTGCAGTGGCCAGCTTAAGGACAGAATCAGCCAAACCATAGCTGTATTTAGCTCTTCAATTAAATAAAAGCACCCCTTAAATCCTAGTTGTTTTTATACAGTACTTCACTTTTAAAAGGGGAACGCTGTTTTTTTTACATTGGGCCCTTGATTTTATGTTATTACATCATGTTCTGCTCACCTATATGAGTTTTGTGTCATTTGGAGCCGTTCTGAAGATATTCCGGTAGGTTATATCCAAGTAACGTCTTCCTATGGGCAAACGACTTGAAGGCACAAACTAAACCGTTCATAATTTATTCTTTATGGTACGCCAGCGTTCATAACATGAAGGCAAATCACTGTCCCCCAGACATCCGCTGTTATATTTTTTATATTTATATTTTTAAAAACAAAGCGGTGCGTGTATGACGTCATCCGCGCGCTGGACTGGAGTTGTGACAGGCAGCCCAGGCCACAGGCGGCTACGCTCCACCCCTTCTATTCATTCGGCGAGCTAATCTGAATCGTTTAATTCTATTTCGAGAGCGAGATCATCTGTGGTAGTAGCACTAGACATCTTCCAGGCATGTGAGTAAAACTAGCAGCAGTTCAGCGGACAGGATGGATGAATGGTAGCTGGGCACGCGCTGATGACCTCATACACGCGCTGCTTCGTTTTTAAAAGATATGAATCTAAAAAATATAACCGTATAGATGTCTGGGGGAAGTGATTCTCCTACATGTTATGAATGCTGGCGTACCATAAATGATAAATTATGAACAGTTTAGTTTGTGCCTTCCAGTCGTTTGCCCATAGGAAGACGTTACTTGGATATAACCTAACCAAATATCTTCAGAGAGGCTCCAAATGACTCAAAACTCATATGGTAGTAGAACATGATGTAATAACGACGTTCCCCTTTAATACTATACCAAAAAAAAGCATGAAAACGATACAGCACTTGGTTTAAAAGGGGTTGAACAGCATTAGTGATGAGAGTGTCTGACCTTAACCAGGATACCTTAAAAAATGCTTAATACCAACACATTATTATTATTCTTCTTATAAGCAGTCCTAGTGTTTGCTGCACTAAAACTTGGTTAACTCTCTGGGAGAGGTTAGCTAATGTTACAGGTGTTCAGTATCATTGTCCTGTTTAAGCTGGAGTGAGAGAAGCTTGCTGCGGTCATACGCTGGTGTTTATTAAAGCTAAGGTGCTTATAATGACAAACTAACTGGATACCCTTTGACATTATAAATCCTGCTGTGTGCACGTCTGTATGCAGACAGCCTCATCATGGAGATCAGATTTTATTTTTATTTATTTTTTAACAAAAAATAAAGCCAGATCCCACTAAGAGTAGCCTATATTAATGATAATATCTCTATCTGTTTGGATATGGGCTTACAGCAGCAGAGAGATTCCTTCATTCATTATAATTCTTTATGTATAAGCTGCCAATGGAGTAAGTTGACATTGACAAAAATAATGGATAACAATTCTATGAAAATCATGTTAATTTATGAATTATGGTTCCACAGAGATATTGTTATTAAACATAAAAAATATATATGCATGCCCGGGCTCCTAAACTGAAATGTTGAGCAATACTTTGAGGGAATCACTGCAATCAGGTGCTTTCTGAAATATTTCCAAAAAAAGTTTGTTTTCCAAGTTTGATGACGTTTCTAATTCCAGGAAGCTTTTTCAATTCAAAATGTCTGGATTAGTGTTGAGTTCCAGGCTTAAAGACTAGCCCAGCAACACCTTGGTATGGCTTAGAAAACATGCGAATTGAACGGAAAGAACAGATCCACCCCTTAGTAATGGGGAGTCGCTGAGGTTTCTGAAATGTTCAGTCACATTTCTGCACCTGTTGATTGTTGGTGAAATGTTCAGAGTAAGGTGCACAAACATGTCTGGGGAATATATATATTTTTTATTATTATTTTTAAAACCACAATTCCAAATCAATTTTCAGTTTACTAAATCATAATTTAGTACATTTCTAATTATCCTTTAATCAGTTTATTATTAGAATTATAGGTGTGAATTTGGGCTTTTTTAATGGGAGTGTATCTAAACAGTCAAGCACAACTTTCTATATTAATCTAGTTGAATACAATCATTTTAATGATTGCCAGTTCAAAGAGGGAGAGGTGCATTACAGGAAAGAGAGCAAGGTGTGTGCAAAGTGCCAGGTCAGGAAAAACCAGGTAAGAAAACCATGGGAGTAGTGACACTGCAAACAGCTGTCATTAAGCTAAGAAAGAGAAACCTTTCAGTCAGTAAATCATTTTACGTGTTTCATGGATGTAATTGCTCCATGTTAAATCCTTTCCAGGAGCAGATATCAGAGGAATTCTGTTTAAACAGGACATCTTTATTACATTTTCTTAATCATCTATATGCTTTACTGAATGCTTAATTTCACTTTACAAGAAAAAAAGAACAGGGAGATGAGACAGAGAAGGGAAAGAGAAGACGGAGATCAGAATCTGCTTTTTGATTTAAGGGAGAAGACTACTGGTCCTAAATGGAACTGTTCTGCTACCGACTTTTCATGAAAAGTGGTTCAAAACCTAGAACAGTTTAAATATTCTTCTCCGAAGAGAAAAAAAAAAAAAAAGCTAATTTCTGCTTTGATTGACGGGTATTTGGCAAAAGTCTCATATACAATGCATCAGTGAGTGATGGAGTCAGTAATTGGTAAAAGGTGCTGAAAATATGTAGAAAACAATGAAATGTATCATGCCTTGACAGACGCCTCTCTGATGCCAAAATCGCCCCTGATAATCACCATTATGATCGGAAAAAAGTTTTTTATTTGTTTTAATCAATAATCCTGCAAACTTTGTCATTTTTTCAGGATTTGGCTGTTTCTTTGTCTTTTTATGAAAGCTGTGCCACTTGGAGGCTTTAAACGTTACGTTTCTTATCTTACCTACTTTTCACATTCTTCGTCGTTTTAAATACACTGCATGCTGTTATGTAAATTAACTGAAATGTACGTGGAAAAGCAGCAGATCTATACAGTTTAGCCTCTTATTTCTTGGTTTTTCCTGCCTATCATATCATGCAGAGAAAAATAAACAGCTTTTTTTAGTGCTGACGTTTTCTTAGTTGTTTGGAGGAATCAGATTTTGTGGCTGATTTACAACGTTTTTGTAAATTTCTAACCATCCAGCAGTGTAGCTAATTACTGAGCACCTAAAAGTTTAATAAAATAGGGATGGACGGAGCCACATCTTTTCACTTCTGATCCAATGGTTGGATTTGGATATCTGTAGATTCTGATACCAGAGCTCTGTTTGCTTTATCTTTATCATCATTGCTGTTGCTTTTGTTTAACAGGTTATACAATCCTCTCCACAAGAGAGTAAAATATGTATAAATGCACACATGTATTTCCCAAAAGACAACTTGAGAAGCATAAATACTAGTAGCAAGTGTTATTCCCTTCAGTGTTCTCTGTTGAATGGTTTTTTTTATCCATGGTGCTGTGGGCCTGGTCTGCGATGTCTGTTCTCAGGATGTAACTCTGGGTTTTGTTGCTTGTTCAGCTAAAAGGCTGTCTTTTTTGAGCTTTTTAATCAAATGAGATGAATCATATAGCTACCATTAACATGTTATGTGGATTTTTTTGCAGCTCCAAGCAGACTGAATTTAGAGAATTTAGTTTTTTTAGAGTGGTGGACACGTCGTGTTTCCACTGATTGTTCCTGACATGTTACGCCAAGCTGACACCAGCAGCCAGAGCTTTTTACGTCTATTAATTTTCCTTTGAATGCTTCTTTCTTTACTGTTAACTAGCTTAGCTAAAGTCAACCCCTTTCACCACAAAACAAAGAGATTTTTCTTTACCTTTAGAGTTAGTTTTTTTCCAGGATCAAAGAGACAAATGTAAACATTAATCACAGTGAAAGGGAGACTATTGCAGAAGAGGTCGATCAAACAGGAACACTTTGACTGATTACGTTTTATTTATAGGATTCTATAACATGGAGGTATGTAGGAGATTGTCAAAGAAGATGATTAGGCCGGATGTGTTTTTGCAAAATAAACCAGGTCCTCGTTCATTTCATATACAATGCAGGGGAAAATTCTCACTTCTTGATCTTATTTGCACGCCTGTTGGTTTTAAAATGACTTTAGTTCAAATGAAATGCTACAGCCTGTTGTCCTGACATGGTTATTTTGGGTTGCCTTTTTTTTTTTTTTTACACATAAGAACTTGGAATCTTAATTTGCATATAGAAGGAAAACCTGTTTTCACGCACCCTAAAATGTCTACTTACTTGGTTTTAAAGGTCGAAGCCAACACTTTTACGCATGTCAGTCCATGTCTGATTACTCATGACACTTTTTTAAAAATGTTGAATTATTTTCCTTTGCTCAGGACCAGGCGGTATCCCACCCAGAGGGCTGCTGGGCGACGGTCCCAATGATCCCAGAGGAGGAACTCTACTGTCTGTCACGGGAGAAGTTATTGACCCCAAGTAAGAACATCACTTAGTCCTGTGGAAAGAGCAGCCGCAGATTGTAGGAGTCCTGTCATTAACCAGAGAAAGCAGCAGGGGCTTTGGTTTGAAAGGGGTAGATTAACAAAGCCCAACCCACCATTTGATCTTACTGGTAATTAAACAAAAAATTCCATTCTGCACCTGAGGGGCCACCAATGCCAGATTTCTTAAAACTAAGTATGAGTACAAGCACCTATATTTCAGTACTTGCAGATATCAGAACTCCAGGCAAAGAAAGACAGTCTAACCTCTGATCCAGTAAAGCTGAGATGCAGTAAAGGGGGATTTGTTTCTCCCACATGAAGGTAGCACCCACTGACTGCTGCAGCTAAGATTAACTTCATTGTTTTGATATCACAAATAAAGTTGGATTAGTTTGTGAATACTCGTGGCTTTAAAAGTATACTTGACAATGGAGTCGCACCCGGTAAAGGTGAATTCCTTGTCTGCACCTATTCGGTCCATTACATCATAGAAACCAGATCATCGTATTGTTTTGTTAAACTATTTTTTTCTGAGTCAACCCACCTCATGTTGCTGGTTGAGCACTTCTAAAACGGTAGGGTCACTCTGGCTTCCAGTACATTTAAGGTCCAGTGAGGTTTTAAAACTACTGTAGTAAAGTCGCTGTGTGAGAGTGAGCATACAGCATGGACTAACACTGCTGCTCCTCCCCAACCTGTTTCTACTCACTGCTGGTCAGCTTGCTGACAGAAGGCAGAGTGAGACTTTCAGAAAGAGATCAGCGTTTGTATCAACTTGATAATATCAAGATCTTAGATGCAGGATGACAGATTCTAAGATTCATTTTCTGGCTGATATCTGACAGATCGATGTCTGATCAGGGCATCCCTAGCCGGTAATTATGCAGGTGGATCAGAGCAACGTCTCATCAAGTCGATCAGAATGTTTTCATATTAACTGGAGGTTTAATCATTCCCTAGATTATGAAGAACAGATCAGCAGAAAAGGGAGGTTAACCCTGTTAAGAAAGAGACAAATAGGTTTCACATAAACAAAACAAAAACAGGTATTCTGTGGTGTTTTTATACTCAGCCAGAGCCACGAAATCTTCACCTATTCCACATGAATACCTGAGAAATTATACAAATCTTTAGCTTTGAACGTATAAAAACATCTTTTTTCTTTCCTTGTAAAATACTGTGCTCCTATCTGCTGAGAAGGTCAAACGAAAAAAAAAAATTAGGAAACTGCTCATGTTGGTGAAAATGTAGCTCAAGTCTGGAAGTGTTTTAATTTTTGTAAACTGCTGAGGTTTTTTTTTTTTACTGTTTTGTGACCCTGAAAACTTCACTTATTTCCCATACCTGGCTGCTTAAAATTGCTTTCAGTTTCAAAACAAACTGCCAGTCATGGTGTGGAAACTGTGTTTGTGTTTAGTCGGGCCTACATGGCGGCTCCACCGCCTCACCAAGCCCCGCCCATACATATACCACAAATGGGAGGAGGACCACCGCCTGAAATGAGAGGGCCCCCGATGCCTGAACAGAGAACCATGATGGTTGACCCACGAGGACCCCCGATGATGGAGCCACGCGGCCCGCCAATGGAACCCAGAGGTATCACAGTTTGAGAAAATAAATAAACCGAATGTTGTAGCTGACCAGCTGTTGATTGAGCTGCATTTACTGTATTTACCTAAAACGTTTCATCCTCAGGCCGCGATCCGAGGGCAATGGACACTCGCGGGCCGGTAACGGGACAGAGGGTTCCCATTGTGCCTGGAATGCAAGGCCCCGTCCCTCATACCATGGGTCCAAACGCTCCTCCACCTGCAAGAGCGGTAACTTTATATCTATCAGCTGTTTGGTTTGGAGCATTCCCCCTGAAATAATTCATTAATCAACTTTTAACAGCCACAATCCTAAATGTTTACTAATTCTTCCTTTCACCAGTAGTAATTATAAAACTACAATCTAGTATAGACTAACCTTCTGCTTGTAGCATAGATGTAGGAGAATAGATGCCACTTGTAGATTTAATGACATTTTCTGTGGCCTGCAGGTCAGTGGGCGGTGTTTTATATTCATTGTATTCACTAAGGACCTTTTACGGTGCAGATGCTAAACTAGCTACTTTAGCTAGGCATAGTAGATAAAAAAAAATGTATATAAAACTATTTATCTTTTTGATAAAAAAATAATATATATATATATATATATATATATATATATATATATATATATATATATATATATATATATTTCCCTTTTTGGAATCAAACAAACTCTGAAAAATATATAATAGAAGTTGTTTGTCCTGGTGTTAAAACAGAAAGGTTATGTCGCATGTTTGAAACTAATACAGTTTCTTACAAACTATAAATTAAAAAGATAATTTTTATTTTTTTTATTTATTTTTGGTAGATTTAAGTTGTACTTTTTTAGTAAACATACTATGATGACGCTTAGTACTGAAACCCATGTATGTTTTTTCTGGGAGCATCCCACTCCCAAACGGCAGAGTCATTGTACTGTTCTTGTATTTGTTAGCATGTTAGCTAAAGTTAGCATGCTACCTAACTTGAACATTAAAAACTAACCAGCTGATCTTATGATCCTGCTGCTCAGCATGGTTTTAAGCTCTGTAGTTATTTTTCAGATTTTATTCCAGTTGAAGATAATCATCTTCGGCATTTTCTCTATATCCCTGAAGGAAATGCATGTTTTAGTTTCTGTGGTAACATTATTTGTGTAGCATCCCTTTTGTTTACTTCTTACTCTTTTATAACTGGTGATATCAGAATGTAGCTGGTAATTGAACAAAGAGATGTAGAAGCATGTGAAAAAGGTAATTAAACAATTAGTGAGCTGAGCTTGTGCTGAAATGGACTCGTCATGCAGGGTCCAGGTGTTTCCGGGGTCCCCACATCTGGAGGAGGTTTCAGTCCAGGCCAGGCTCAGGTCTCCACACAGGATCAGGAGAAGGTGGGCTTCATTTTCTCTCCTGCTGATGTTTTCCATCCGCTCCCATACGAGTTATCTTTACTCATCTTCTTCCCTCCTCCTTCCAGGCTGCGCTGATCATGCAGGTCCTGCAGCTGACCCCAGAACAGATCGCCATGCTGCCCCCAGAGCAGCGACAGAGCATCCTCATCCTCAAAGAGCAGATTCAAAAAACCGCCTCAGGTGCACCATGATTCTCCAACAAGGCAAAGGTGCAGTTTCTCGTCATTGTTCAGACGTTTGAAGGAGGAAGTTGTTTCCTGATTTAGACAGTGTAATGGATTTCTTTTATTCTTATTCCTGTTGCAGGACTGGCTGCCCCTTCAAGATCCTCCTGCTAAAGCTCCTCTTGGATTATTGTAGGTTTTCTTTTGTTAGTGTTGTAAAGAGTGTTGGGTTGATCCAGACGATTGTTCAGAAGAAGGTTAAATCGATGGACAATTAACTCATTTTTGCTTTAAAGCAACTTGTTGTCAAATCTCTGGAAACCTGTTTTTTTTTTTTTTTTTCAATAAAACTAAAGCACAAAAAATGGTTTCATCATTTTAATCCAAAGTATTTGAAAAAATACCTCTTAAAGGAAAACATACCACACATCGCAGTCTGCCAATCTTTAACTACCTGTTTCATAGTTCACTGCCTTTTTCCTTGTGAACCTGCCCATTGTCTAAAATAAGGAAGTGCTGAACGTGAGAGGCATTAAGGAAACACTAGAAAACTTATCATTGGTCTATTGTCCTGTTCCAGGAAGCTGCTTTCTTACACAGTGATAAAAGGCTGGGGGAGATAAGGCATCTAAAACACTTAAAGAATTTAACATTTACTGTAACATATTTGTAAACTTTATTTTCTTATTTACAGATTTCAAAAATGTATATTTAGGGAAACAGGATTTTAAGAGCATGATACAAAAATCAAGCAGGAAATGACACGATTTTTAAAGGAAATACATTTATAGTCCAAAGATTTTTTTTTTTTTGCTACAGATATCTTTGAATATAAACGGCTACTTCAATTAAAAAAAACTTCATTTAAGGACATCATAGCCCAGCTGATTTAAGGTTGTTATTTTAACACTATAACAAAGAGACTGTACATTTTATTAGACTTCATGGTAACAGGAACTCAAAATCCAGTAAACCTTTAATACAGCTGGCTTACTGTAAACCACTATGACTAACTCTAACAAATTTTAACCCTGATAAATGTTGATCACCAACAATATGTCATTGCTTTGTCAGAGTGGATTTGTGTGGAAAACCCGTCCCTGCCCTTTGCACAGGTTAGTGTGCACCTTTTCAGTCACTAACGATCTGTGTCACAGGAATTTACCAACCAAAACCGATCCGCCTTCCTTCATCAATGATCCCTTTGTTTTAGCTCAGAAGTTCTCCTTGTTAAAGTTAAATTTGGTCTTGCGAGGATCAACGTCGGAGTACTTGGCACATTTCTTCTCCAGGACTTTCGCTAAAGCCACCGGGCCGCACAGAAAAGTTCCCACCACGGACCTGAATATGAACAAAGAATGTTACAGGAATGCAAATCTGCAGTATAGCCTCATTATAATAAAAACCTATAGACTTAACATCAGAAATCATTACCCAACCAATCAAATGCACTCACTTAAGTTCAGATGTTAATTTTGGAGACGTGAGAATAAAGTTATCTGTTTCCTCCTGTACTTGTAGTTAAAAATTAAGTTCATTTAAAGGCTAATTTATTTCTCCACAACACCAGGTTTTTTTTTTTTACCAGACGCTTCACATCAGTTTTCATTTGTCTAGATGACTAAAGTGCAGAATGCCCTGAGGGTTTTTTAGACATTTTGTTCTTGCATCCCTGAAAGAAACAACCTCTGTTCCTTTATGTTTTTGCCTTTTTATAACCCAGGTAGTAGTTTCCAAATCACGAAAAGAAACTAATCACCCCCAAAAGACATGGGTCTACAACCTGTCCTTAAAAAACAGATCTAAAGCAGGTTTAAGCAGTTTTTCATTTTTTTAATGGAACCATAGCCTTTAATTTCTTAAACAGAATCAAACTGAAAGCAGCAATACTGTTGTTTAAGATCTACTTTTCTAATTGAGTTGGAAATGGTGCTTTTTTTTTTTCACATTTTCTACATATCTGTCCTCTTTGACATGCAGCACGTCCTCTAGGTTTAGAAGCAGAAAATCAGCCAATTTGGTTTTTGACAAGTTTTTATTATATTTCATGCAGTTATAGTAATTTATTCCCCATAATTTTTGGAGGTTAAAGGTATAGTGAAGGATGTTTTTTTTTCTGGGTGGATCATCAAAATAAGTGGCCCTCCTAATTGTCAATCATTCTGGTGATATGTTTACGTAAGGTCGTCCTACGTGCTCATCTCCATTTTCACTTACCTGTGGTGAGTCTGTCATGGTGGAAAAATTAAATTGCAAATCTTTTGGAAAGTGAGCTTGTATGAGCGATGCAAACGGCACTCATAAACAGAGCGTGCACGAGGAAAAATGGGCTTGTGCATGCTCTCGCACGTGTTTAATAGGCGTTCACTCTTGGGAGCGGGTACAAAATTGTGCATGTGCATTTTTTTCAAAAATCTGCGAAGATCCTCCATTATACCTTTAACTCTGTTTCACTAATAACATTTCTGCTGAGCAGAAAGAATATTTGTTTTACTCACGTAGGGTTCTCTTTGCGGACTTCCTCAAACTCCTTGTCCCAGTTGGGTCGGCCATAGTGAGTCTTCTGCTTTAGCCCTGTCACCACATCTGTGTCCCGATCAACGTTAACCGTGACGTAATTGACCTAGAAGGACAAGCATATCAGTTTATGAGGAAACGATCACAGTGATTGCTTATCTAGACTCTGTAGAGCTGATTAAGACTCATACATGACTCTGATCCCATCCAGTCAGGAACAGCTTGTAGGTGAGGAAATCTCCCATGCCTCTCTCCTCCATCTCCTTCTCCTGCGCCTTCAGAAGGTCCGCAAACCACTCGAAGGCGTGCGTCTCCCGGCAGAGCCAGTAGAAATAGATCTGAGAACAGTGAACAGAGGAAGGTGTGTCAAAGACAATGGCTGATGCTTCGCCTTCTGGGATTTTTGTAATTTCTGAAAATGTTTATTATAAAGACAGGGTTGTGTCATCGGATCACACTATGAGTGCCTTCACCTTTCTGGTGCGCAGCTTGGGATCGTTGTCTTTGAACTTGTACCAGATGGACTTGAGGATGGAGGCGAAGGGAGTGACGCCGATGCCGGCGCCCACCAGCATGCTGACCTCGTAGTCGAACACGTCCTCGCTGGCTGTGCCGAAAGGTCCATCGACACCCATTCTGAAGAGACAGAGCAGATTATTTTCAGTTTTTCCATCCCCTTCCTGGTCGCATCAAATCATAGATGGCTTTAAATGCGATGTGATTCAGCTCTCAATCTCTCAGCAGTGTCCTCTCTGTTTAGATTAATAATAGCTGCAGCAGCTTAAGTTTGAAGTCCTCACTTCATCTGCGCTGAGATCCTCCATTCTTTCTTCCAACACGTCTCTCTATGTGTAACTTGGAATCAGTAATCCATTTTATAATCTCCCCGCTGGATTAATGTAATTCTCCTTAAACGGGAATTAGCCAGGTCACTTTGTCACAGCTTCAATTTATCTATTTCGCTTAAATAAAAAAATACTTTATTGATAACATTATAATATAATCTTATTTAACATTTTAATAGTTGCCTTTTTATTCTTAATTATTATTGATTATCGTTATGAAAAAATAAATATTATCATTTGACTAAATGCAGCAGCCCGATTTCTAACAGGTACAAAGAGACGCGAGCAGATCACTCTGCTGTTAACCTGTTTGCACTGACTGCATATTTATTGTAGATTGAGTTTTGAAGTTTTCTTCTTTTTAAGGCTCTGAAAAGCTTTGCTGCAGCACAGCTGCCTAACTTGCTGAACCCCCTCGCCTCCATCCCTCCTCCAGACCTGCTAACCGGATGCTGCTGCTGGGTCCTAAATCACAGAGAAAACTGTTCTGTTTTGGTGGAGAATCTTTGGAACGAGTGAAGCATGGAGCATGACGTCGTAATTAGAGATGCTGAACCGTTTGCCGGCGTTTTTATTGCACTTCTGCAGAGATCAGGAACAACTGGATTTTTAAAATGAAGTACTGCACACTTCCAAGCATAATGAAGCTCTGTCTTCATGCTCAAGTTCATCTTCCTCATGCTTGCTTTTGTGACCCAGATCAGATTTATCCCAGTTGCCATGTGCTTAGACTATGTGGACAGGGGTGGATCGCTCTGAGGTTGTGCTGCGTTTCTAGATTATGCCCAGAGGCTCACTGTTAATCTGACCAAACAAAATCAATAAGAGTTAAAATCCCAGCTGATATATGAACATATATTTATTTGTTATTTTTTACATATATTTTTTCTCTCATTCTTTGTATTTATGGGTACAAAATAAGCACACATTTTATGCATCTATTAAATTACCCAACTCAGTCACATTTTTGAACCGTAAAGTATAATTTTACTTATGTTGCAACTTTTTTCTTTAACTTTGCTGCTTGTATACCTGTTTTTATTTTTACAGTTTTTTTTCTTTACCCTCAGCTTTTAAAGCTAAAATTCCCCCCCTAAAGAACAAAAAAAAGAAGTTTCTATTCTACTATAGATTAAAAATATCTAGATTAATAATAACTTAGACTTAGACAGACTTTATTGTCATTTTGTACACACAGAGTGTATACAAAAAGAAATTTATTTCAGTACAGCTCTCAAGACATAATATCCATTTGGTCTCCTCCTTAAATATTAACATCTAAACATGTTTATTTGCTGTCTGTACAATCAGAAGACTTACTTGGGTCCCTGGCTTCCCTCCGGAAGCTTCTGCATGATGTCGATGAGTTTGTCCGTCCAGTCTCCGGCCGAGCGGATATGGACGCTGAAGAAGTCCTCCTCCGGTGCAGAGGTCATGGTGAACGGGTGCCACTCCAGCTGTGAGATGGCCGGGCAGTTGAGGAAGACATACTGTCCCACATCCATTTTAAAGCCTTTCTTCAGCAGCTGCAGCTCCAGCACTTTGGACGGCCGCATCACAATCTGTTACCCACAGCTCTCAGTTAGTAAAACAAGTGGGTCAGCTGCTAAGGAGGAAGGAAAATATAAAAAGTGTATTTTACCTTTCTATACTGCACATTCTGCATGTAGCGAATGAAGCGCAGCAATCGCTCGCACACGTAAATAATCATTGGGCCGATCACCCACCACCAGGTCTGCATAGAACAAGGAAACCAAGGTTACAGGTTTTAACTTGAGAACAGAGAGAAATCTGAAGTGAACGATGACAAACCTGCGCAGGCCCTCCACTAAACTGAGGGACGGGACATTCGGGGATCTTTCCCCAATCCTCAGTGCGGTTGAAACAAAAAAAGGGGTTGTGTTTTTTAAACGACTCATCTGTCTGCTTCCTCACGACGAACCTGCAGACGAGACGGGTAGATAAGATCTGGTTTCTCAT